TTTTATTAATTATTTTTCGCACTCATTTAAAGCTCTATCTACACCACACGTAAATTAAGATTACGACTGTAATAGTTTTTTTAAAATGGGCGAAATTCTTAAGAATAATGACGAAGACAGTAACTGAACAACCTAATGGGCCCGTTCACTTTCATTTTTGAATGTGAATTATTTATATATTTATAAAGATATTAAACTCTTTTGTCTGGTGGTACTTTTCCCGTTAAGATATTTTTGCTAGAAGTAAGGGAATTCCCATAAAATTCTTTCAGTGACTCATTGCGTCAGAAAACCCCTAATTCCCTTCAGGTCTTGTATCGGTTAATAGTTAAAAGGGCGCGGTTGTCGGATGTATCATTGCACCACCATTCCTCTTCTGCATTTATTAAAGAAATTTAAATGATAAAAAAATATTATTTTTTAAAAATAATGTGTTTATATTTTCAGATAAAGCTGGAAGGCTTACCTTTTTTAAATTTTAATAAAAACAATTAGTATTACTCAAGCTGAATATTACCAGATCGAAATTTTATTTGAGAAAATGTATCTGGTAAACGTGACAACGTTGTAAGTACTTCTAAATAGTGTTGTCTACACACACTTCTAGAAATAAATGCAACGTTGCCACGTTTACCAGATAAATATTGCAAATCAAATTTCTACTTTTTGATTATGGTCTGGTTAATTTTCAGCCTGAGTAATAATAATTGTTTTAATTAAAAAGTTAAAAATAAGCTCCCAGCTTTAAATCTGAAAATATAAGTTCATGATTTTTAGAAAAATAATGGAATTTTACTATTTAAATTACATATAAATGCAGAAATGCTATATTAGGGATACTTCCGACAACCTCGCCGTCTTTCAGCATAACCGATACGAGACGTGAACGGAATTAGGGATTTTCTGACGCAATGAGTCACTGAAAGAATTTTATGGGAATTCCCTTACTTCTAGCAAAAATATCTTTACGGGAAAAGTACCACCAGACAAAAGAGTTTAATATCTTTATAAATATATAATCAATTCACATTCAAAAATGAAAGTGAACGGGTCCATTGTTAAAATAACCTAAATAATATGAATTTTACAAATAGGTCATGTATGACTCTTTTTAAATTGGTGGTTTTTAGTCGAATTTACTTTATGGTAGATTTTTCAGGTAATTGCTACAACAAAGTTAATAAATATTTCTTCAAGATGACTTGTAGGTCAACTAAATGAGTATTCGACTATTTAGTTGAAATTAGGTAGATAAACAGGTAGAATTTTGCTACGGTCTTGACCTAATATTACTTTAAAGGAGAGTTAATAAAAGCGGCCAAATAGCTATGGAGGCATAAAATTACGTAGAATTTTTAACCAAATCTACCTAGTTAAATATTCTACTATAAAGACGATTTTTAGTTGCCAAACAGGTAGATATTACCTAAATAGAGCACCTAATTTTACTACAAAGGAAATTTAACTTTGAAGTAATTGTTGGTTATTTTTTTAAGTAGTTTTTCCCTTGCTGATATGGTTAAAGTTACTTTTAAGCAGATTTGTGTAAAAGGTAGATTTCTTGGTATAATTTACGTAAATTTAAATATAAATTAAAACCGTTTGGTAAATTTACATTAGAGGTATATTTTTCTAGTCAATTTTACGTAATAATTACCTCAATAAGTAAATTCGTCTTTAACAAAGTCGAGTTATAACTAATGTTATTGAAAATGTTTGCTGGGCAGTTAACAAACAATAGCCTAGTTTAATCAGCAAGTAGTTACTTTCAACTTTACTCATAGGTGATAAGACTGGTGCTAAGGCAACGAAAAATTAATTTTTCAATTTCTTATGTGAGTAATTCATTGAAACATAATATGGCACAATTTCGTGAGAATTATGACGACTCAGAAACGTTACGATGTGACACCATCAAAATACCCACAAAATGAAGTCTGAGACGATTTGTGAAAAGTTAATAATAGATTATTTAATTAAAATATTGGAAATTATTAGATTGATATTGATAAGATTTATTTATATAAACTTCAGCTAACTATATATATTTTTAAAATAAAAGTACTTGTACATGCTTACAAAAATATACAGGACATCAGTCTCCAAATTGACGTCTCTTGGAACTCTTGGAAGTAATTTCCATGTCATGTTATGTCGCGCGCCTAGTGGGACTCTGAAATGACGTCATAATGAGGTTGCTAGCTGGGAATTCTACAGTTATTCCAGTTTTTCTATACTCCATTATTATTGAACGACACTATGTATATATTTATAAAATTCTATAAAATTAACTATTAAAATCATACATAGGAAATGTATTTACTATCATCATGATTACTTACGCAATATGCAATGAATGACTTACAGGTCAAAGTTTTTTGTAAACAAAATTAATATTTTTAAATTCACTAATAATATTGATACATATTAGATATTTATTATTGTTTTTATTATTGAATTATTTTTAAAATTAACCAGTTTGTAGGAATTTCTGTGAAAGTGATTTTAAAATAGAAGTTTTTACCAATTTTCATTATTTTACTTTATTTTGAGGCAGTTTGGGTAACTAAAAAAACAAATTGATTCTATAAGACATCCATTGGAAATATTAACTAGAAAGTCAAATTGGTAAAAGTTTCAGGAAACGATTAATTACATTTTAACTGTTCTTTAATGTACAGAAACATTTCCATTTTTTAAATACTCACTCATAAGAATTCTCATTCTAATTATTAAACCAACGGAGTATTTTATTTTAAAATAAAATTTATATACAAAGTGGAAAGTTTTACTGGAATAATTTATGTAACTTAATGAATAAAAGTTTGTCGCAAAATTCCTGAAACATGTCAATTTGTATTCTCAATAGGGCACATTACAAAGAGGTATGTTTATTTTTTAATTATTTGGGGGGGGGGGGGGGGGGGGGGGGGGGGGGTTGCAGCCACACCCCCACTTTTTTTAATGAAAGGGTAGGTTGATTAATTTATTATTTTAAAGCTTTTTCAATTGCATATACAATTACATATTTTTTTTTATTTTTTTGTATTCAATTTGACAGAGAAAATAAACGAAATATTTACTGAAACTACTTTAATGCGGGGGGAAGGGCATTGACAATAACAATTCCCTTTTAGCATACTTTTTTGAATTGGAAGAATTTTTATCTCGGGGGATGGCCCTCTCTCCCACCCCCTGGAGCCGCCCTTGGTTCCAGCGTTACTTGACTAATTAAATAAACTAATGTTCGCCCAGGGGTAGTATTCTCGAGTCACGAATATAGATTCGCATGCGAGATTTATGATTTGTCTCACTTGGTTTTCGTTCAACAAAGTGAGACACATTGTAAAACACGTATGCGAATGACGGTATTCGTGATTCGAGAATACTACCCCCGTGGTCGAAATTCGACAATATTCATTATTGAAAATTCGAGGAGAATATGCAAAAAAGTATTCGTATATTTCTAACATATTTTTAAATTTATATACATTCGTTTATTGTATATCTGAGACTATAAACTTTTATAATTATGTACCTACAATACAATTAGTTCGGTAACATTATAATTAAATTAAAAATAAAAATAAAATAACAGTAGCTCGCAATTTAAAAACCTTCATTTATTTATATGAAACACATTTTGGCCACTAATTTTTCCTAAACCCATTCTGATTAATAAGCACTTTCTTCTTCTTGACATTTCTTCTTCTTTCCGTTTACTTCCTTTCGTTTACTTCTTCCATTAACTTATTTTTGGGCTTTGCAATAATTCTTTTAGCTGAATATGGTAATATCACAGCTTATACAATATATTGTATAAGCTGTGGTAATATTTGATTTATTATTAGATATATTTACTTCACTTACTCACCCAAGTGACGAAGTGACTTGTCCTTCGAGTTATCACAATGGTCCCTCCCAAAAAACGTCCAGATAATATAATACTGTTCCAATCATTAATATCTGTTATAAAATCAATTGTCAACTTTTTTGTGGAGGGGAAGGTAGTAACGAAAATCGGATTACATCTTACATTTTGGTCCTCTATACAACTGTGGGTTGAGGGAGTAGAGGGGGAGGTGGATCGAAAATCTTCAAAACTCAAAGGATTTAATTTCGGAAAAAAAAGACTTGTTCTATTTTTCATATAGGAGGAGGTAGGGGGTGAAAGGGTGTGAAATTTATTTTCGCCTTAAAGTCCAATCCATCGTAATCGACGTTCATTTTTCTAAGTCTAACGGTTCTATATATCGACCTCCCTGGGGTTGGGGGAGTTGTGCGGTTTGAAATCGTTTCAGACGGGACTTATGGCCCCGCTATTATTTATTTTTAACCCCTTACCATTTAGGCATGGCAGAGGAAGAAGGGGAAAGTTGAAGGAGTGGAGGGAGGAAGTATTTTTTTTTCTTTTTTCACGATCCTCTATCTGTCCATGTAATATTGTCCATGTTGTTTCGAAAATAAAGGATGCTCATGTTTACTATAGGATAATGTTATAAATCAATCATAATTATTATGGATCAATGGATTTCATAATATATAGAAAGTTGTAAAATGTTACTAAACCATTTTGTCTTTGCCTATAGTACATCTTATTTTATTTTTTTCCAACATATTGCTTTTAGAAAGCAACAAACAAATACGTAATTGTATTTGCAATTGAAAAGCTTCAAAATAAAAAATTAATCAACCTAAAGTTCATTAAAAAAAGTTAGTGGTTGTTGCAAACCTCAAGATAATTAATAAAAAAAATAACAAACCTCTTTGTAATATACCCGATTGTAAATAAAATTGACATTTTATTTAGATCTATCATAAAAATCTCAAAATAAACTAAAGGTAATATGCTAAGTGAATAGAAGTGTAGAGCTCAGTTCGTTCCGGTTTTTCAACGTGATCACTTGGATCTTAATACATTATAGTCAAAGTTATGAATTTTGAGACGTTGCCAAATGTGATTTATAACGTAAATAAAATAAAATGTATTTGTTCTGCAGGGTTCTACATATAATGAATATACCCTTTTTGGCTCTTCTCGCACTTTTATCGAGAGAAGCTTTTGCCCAAGAACTCTCTTCCCCATGTCCCGGCGTCTTTAATTATGAGGCGCGCATGGAAAAAGACAAATGGTATGGAGTGATAACTGCTAGAACAGCTGAGGAATTGTCTGGTGTGTGGATCACTGTTAAATTGGACACCAAAGCAGAATTACTAGGGGTATTTTCTTCCAGTAAATGTTTAGACAGCGATTTGTAATAAATGTTATTCGTTTTAGAATTGGTTTGGAGAAACTTATTCAACGGACAATCAAGAATTTCGTATCTCAAATCCTGAGTATATCCTCGAAGCGGGACCACCTGTATCCATAAGATTTTTCGTGAGGTACAATCAATCTAAGAAAGTTCCACAGGTTCAAGTGATACGACTTAACGGAAAAACAATTTGCAGCGAAGACAATGAATTTAAACCATCAACTCCTAAATTACACATCAGTAAACCAAATATTTATAAACAACCTTCAATAGGGTAAGCATTAGAGTTTTTAAAGTTCTACAAATTCAACAATAATTTATCTTTTCGTGTTTTAGAGCTGGTTTAAGTTACGAACCTAGCAGTACTAACTTACACTCGGATGTAACAACCATAAATATACCTTCAACTAGTCATATAATCAGTACCGGTCACAACAGCTTTACTAGACCTCACATTATATCATCAACAGAGGATAATTCTTTCAACAACCCATATGGTAGCTTAAGTACAATAGGCAATTCAAATGAAGCTTCTCGAGTTTCAGACAGCTATAAAAGACCATCATCTAGTTCAATAGGCAGTTCCAATCAACCACCTCGTAATTCATATAATTATAGACCATCACCTAGCACGATAGGTAGTTCCAATCAACCTCATCGAGTGTCGGACAGCTATAGACCAGCGTCTGGTGCGGGTTTAGGAGATAGTTACAGTAATCAATATGGCAGTTCTGGTTTCCAAATAATCAATAGTAAACCATCAGTTGGGCAAGATCCCTACAAATCACTGGGTGGTTTGATGGCTCAAGATTCTTTTGGAACACCATATGGGGGATCGATTGCTGGAAATTCTAGAGAATCACAGAATTATGATAAAAACAAACATCCTGTTGGAAGTTTTTCGGTTGAAGGCAATTCGCAATCTATTAATGGAAATAACACACCTTATGTTAGACCAAGTGAAAATAAGTAAGTTGCTGATATATAAGTTTAAAAATCTAAAAAACAGGATTCCTCTTACTCCGTTATACCTACCGATTTGTATTGGTCGAATATTGCAAATTTAAAATGTAGATACTTCAACGAATTCTGTATTTATTTGTTTTTTCTTTTTTCAGTAATTCACCAAGGCCATCTCAAGACGTAAATAGCGTAAGGTTTGTATTTTTTTTCGCAATCTCGATATATTTTAATAATTATTCTTAAATATAAATATACAAATTGCGAAGTTTTGTTATTAACTGAACGTAACAAAAAAATTAGTAATTTTTTCTTTATAGTACAACGTCCAACAAAGGCAACAGAAATAGAGTACATGACTCGGACGAAGACTTCTTTCACGGAGACTTCAATGTGGACAAACCTTCTTCTTCTTCTTCGTTACGCCCAAGACCCGCAGGGCCGGATTCCAGCAAACCTTTGGAATGCGGTACTGTAGCATACAGACCAAGACCGTTGATTACCAATGGACAAGACACAGTACCAGGTGAAAAAAATATCATTATCGAGTATATGTTGAATTGACTACTATCAGTAAATGCACTCACATATTTTATCCATACATTATATACCTTAGTCCCTAAAGTTTGTGAACTGGCATCATTCAAATAATGTTGACATGTAGTTTGTTGATAGTACGTTCTGCGCGATGTTAATCGAAAATACAAAAAATAGTGAGTATAGTCAAAAAAACCGTTAAAATAGTTTATAAACATAAGTAATAATAATTAAGTCATCATGACCTAAAAAAATATTCTACGCGTTACTGGACAATTGTTTCCCTTCTCCTGTGATATCGTGAAGCTCCACATATTCATTGTCATTGACAGATGACGTCAGTTTTGTAAACTTTCGGGACCAAAATAATAGCAATTTTTTATTTTTAGGCGAGTGGCCTTGGCATGCAGCTATATATCACACCAAAGGCATCCACCTTGTTTACATTTGCGGAGCAAGTCTGATTTCTGATAAGTTCGTTTTAACTGCAGCTCATTGCGTAACAAAACCTCGAAGTAATAAAATGGTAGAATCGAACAGCATACTAGTATATTTTGGTAAGTTTATGTTTGCGAAATATAAACATTTACAAAAAAATACTTTTGAGTCCTTGGTAACTATTTAAACACGCACACCTTTCTGATTTTAAACTCTAACGACATATAAGCCGGCCCTGTTACATATTAAAGTAATTACTTTTGAGTTTACCATAATTTTAGGAATATCGTGTTTTTTTTAGGTTCTTACCTCTTATTTTGAATTTTTCTTTTTGTTTTCTTGGAGTAAAAGGTTTTTTTATTTACATGAAACCACAGTGTTAGGTTTTACAAAATTCCACGATACTACATTCCAGCTCCCAGATGTATTAATAAAACCTGGAATTTTGTGGCATACCCTTTACACACAAGTAGAAATTAATATAGTAAGTGTTAAGCTGAATACTTATAGAAATAATAATAACTGTGTATAAACATGAATAAAGAATTTTTTTTTATAAAATAAAACAAATTAAGAAAAGTACTGAAGATGGCGAAAGGTATACATAAAATAAATTAAAACTGTAGCTCCATTTAAATAAATAAAAATACATACATCCTAAAAAAGCAAAAACAAGAATTAATTATATTTGTCGAAGCACGCAAATTCCATTCCGGCAAACGTATAGCCAATGGTGTTCAAGAAAAGTCAAGTCATTGAAGTCATACAGAAGCAACGCGTAAGAAGTTATAATTTCAATCACTCCCCTTATTTCACAGACATTTGTGTCTTGTGTCTCACATCACATTCACTTCACATCACATCGAACACCACATATTTTCGTAACAAATAGAAACTGAAATCCATCTCTATGATGGTCAATATTTTTCCGTTTTGTATTTTCTGTATTATACTTTTATAATACCATTGCAGTATTCTATTTTTATTTACTTTAAATGTGCAATGATCCTATAGGATTTTGTATTTCTAAAATTAAAATTGAAGTGGTTCTTGAACAGTTCTGTTACTACTGATGTTGGTCGGGTCTAAACATTTCAGGAGTTGGCAAGCGAATAAACCATTTCTGCATCTCATTATGACCATACTTATTGAATTTGATCTAACTTTTCACTGAAAGAGAGTTGTAAGGTAACTTGATGTCTAAAGCCTCATGTCCACTTGCAAGTAACTTGCGAAAGTTTTTTCACCAAGTACTTTCCGGCGTGTCTACACTGTAGTCTAATTGTTTTGAAATTTATTGCGGCAAATTACTGTAGCAAGTTCGTTTGCTTCAGAAACGTTTACACACACCTCAGCAAGTGGCTGCTGCGGTTGTGACATATATTCATAATGTAGCTTGCGCTGAATTTCATGTTCAGATGTATTGAATAGTTCTGTTAATTTTTGAAATGCGGCTTGTTTTTTTACTCTATATATTTTTAAAATATTTGCAATGTACATTCCATATTTCTGGGTACAATTCAAAATTTTCAATTAACAGAAGAGTCCATTTTTGCAAAAAAATCAGTATTTTAATTCAGATTCAAAAAAAATAAAATAAATATTTAAAATAGTTTCACAAAATTTCACTACTTGCTGCAAATATTTCGAAACAGTCTCGAAATAAAAAAGTGCAAACTAATTTGCTTAGATTAGACGTGTACACTACAAGCTCTAACAAGTTGGCAAGTACTTGGCCCGAGAGTAAACTTTCAGCAAAATTTCTCTAGCGCTGATGTTTACACGCATTGCAATGCAAGTGACTTGTGAGAGTACTCTAGGCAAATTTAATTGCTAGTGGACACGAGCCTTAAGAAGACTATAAGATGTTGGCACACAGTAGAAGTGACAATTTTGCTCGGTTGACAAAAGCACCCTACGTCTCCCCGAGATTAGTGTTATAACTTTTTCATAGTTTATTGTCATTTAATAATGTTTACTGATGTTACAATGAATTTGGAAAATATGAATTTATATGAAGCGTGACACGCTCGTGTATCGTTTGAACTTTTTTCCAACTGTTGAAATAATGTCATAGACTTTCTATAAATCAGTATACAGTAAATATCTAAATTGCTGCATTTTAATAAAAAAATTCCATTCATTTTTAGGGAAGTATAACTTGAAGACATTTGGACCGGAAACACAAGACAGGGACATAACCGAAATTTATGTACATCCCGATTTCAATTCTACAGTGTATTATAACGATATTGCCATTCTTAAATTATCTAGACCCATAGAGATAACCGATTTTGTTCGACCCTGTTGTCTTTGGAGTGAAGATACAAATTTAGAGACCGTCGTAGAAAAACAGGGTGAGTAAATTGTAATAAAATCTTAATGAATTGATGTTTGATTTTTTTGGTAGATCGTTAAACTTTAGAAAACGTTAAAAAATGAGAATAATATAAAAATTGACGCACCTCCTTAAGTGGAATAAAACAATATTTTCAATCTTAAAAGGAGAACATCAATTTTTACATCTGCCCCATTTATAAATTCTTTTAAAAATTACGCCTGTTCCCCATTATTAGATTTTTAAAGAAGTCTTTAAATATAAATTTTCAAGTCTGTATCATTTGCGCTTTTTGAGATATAGTAATATTTGATTTTCCCTCGTAACTAGGGGACTAGGGCTAAACAAAATGGCCGACGGTTTTACCGGAAATGCAAGTCTGATTTTTTAATGGGTCATTCTGTATATTTTATGTTTTTTGAATCTATGGTTCAAATTACACATCACAATGTTGCCAAATTTTAATTTTTTTACAATTTTACAACATTTCTGGAAATGTCATTCAGTTTGATTTACTTAATGGGCTACCCTGTATATTTTATGTATCAATGTTGACAAATTTTTATTTTTTTTTCAAACTTTTCTTTATTTTTGATAGAAGCTATTTCACCAACTGAGTCAAATATAAATCCTGTTTTTTAACAAAATCTCACTTTTTTTATTTAAGTTATTTTGCTATTAGATTCCAAATTTGATTACAAATCTAACATTACCCATTTAGAAAATTAAGTTTTTAGTTTATATCTAAACATTTGGGAAAAAAATTCGTCTTCATAAATAGAGGAGATATTAACAGAGTTTTAGTCCTATTGTATGCCAATTTTCATACTATCTCTTTGAGATTAAAAAAAATTGATAGGTATGGTCGGCGCAATCCAAACGTGAACGCTCTTTGATTATCGTGGGATTTTTACTGATATTGATTCCTGTAAGTCGGGCTTTGGCCAGTGATATTACAAAGAGAGTGGAGAATATTGAAGACAAAAATATTACTTTTATTAGTGCTGTTTTGTCGAATCGGTCTTTACTACATAAAATGTACACTAAAAAAATTAGAAGAATATAAAATAACAAAAACATTTTATTTATTACAAAATTAAGTTCAAGCGTTTATTTTTTGTATTAGAAAATCAAAGGCTATAGCAAAATTAAATTAAATTAACATCTAAACATTAAACCCTACAAAAACCAGAACATGAAAGGCTATAACAAAATTGGAGGAAAATGGGTCTTTAAGTGAAGTGATTGCTAAATTAAATGTCAGTAAAGGTGCATATTTTACATTAAGAAACTGGCAAGAATAACAAAGATTGCGAAGATCTTTCAGACAAGGTGTAGGGAAGAAATCTAATGGAAATGAAGACAATGCTCTTCTTGAATTTAACAGCTATAGCATATATTTTATTGCAGAGCCATTGGCTGCCACAAAACTTTTTAATATTTTGCCATGTGCAAAATTAAGTGTCGCATGTCGTAGGAATCTACGAGCTCGTCCCAAGCATGTTTAATAACTTTCCATAGTTGACCGCGGTTTGCCGGCCTAAAGTTTCTTTAATATGTCTTTTTGACCATGAAGACCCATATATTTTCAATGGGATCCAAGTAAGGACTTTCTGCTGGCCATGGCAAACCATTTATGTTGTTGTTGGCACACTATCTTACTGTTTGAGTCGTATGAACTGAAGAATTATCCTGGAATAAAAATCAATTATTATAAATATTTACGAGTATACCAAACTGATTTCTTACATGTTGAAAGGTACAATTGTTAGGAAAAACTTCTGTTACATCACGTTGTCTAAGATGTTTATGTAATGCTTGACTGTTAATTGCCCATCAATTTGCCAGCACATTCCAGGACTGTTAACGCTTATCCACTCTTAAACATTGATGGAAAAGCGCCCACTATTAGTACTACCCAACGTAATACTGCACAGTAATCCTTTTTGATAATCGAACCTTATCACGTTTTAGAAAAACAGCCATTTTTATGATTTTCAAAAATCCATATTTCCAAAACTAGACATAGAAACTTAAACATGTAACTATTGAAATTGGTTGAAAGCCATTTTCTCATGTATTTGTGCGTGGTTCTTTTGCAATTTTTACAACAATTTATATCATCAAGAAAGAGAAGGAACAAAACAATGGCGAATTGAAATCTCCCGCAAGAAGAAAAAAGCGGATAAGCCAGTCAAATTCTCGCGAATATACAGGGTGTTAAGACCTTATTGAAATCAATAAAATTATTGTGCACAAGGAATTTTTTAAATATTCCGCCATTATTCGATGGAATGATAATTTACCATCTTTCTCTTCAAGAACCCTATGTAGATTGATGAAAGATATTGGTTTTGAATATGTAAAGTGTGGTCATAAAAGTATAATGTTAGAACGAAACGACATCATTCATTGGCGGCACAGGTAATTAAGAGCCATCAAACAATATCACCAACAAAATTATAACGTTATTTATTTAGATGAGACTTGGGTCAACGTGGGTCAAACGGTTAACTATGCATGGTGGTGATAACACCATAAAAAATGACGAAATGAACGCCGACTATTTTGAGCAAAGGTTTGAGGAGTCGCCGATTCCTAACTTACCAAAAAATGGACGAAAGAACGTCTTTGTTATGGGTAACGCTTCGTATCATTCCCGTAAATTTAGTTTTTCATGGAACACACCTGAAATAAAAAATTGGTTTAAATTAAAAAACATTTTCTTTGACGACTTTTATTTAAAATCTGAGCTGCTTGAAGTTACCTACGCATTCAAAGAGAAATACGACAAATATAAGACTGAGGAAATACTTGCAAAATACGGGGTAACTGTTTACCACCATATCATTGCGAGCTTAGCCCGATTGAGATGGTAAGGAATCAGGTAAAGTGCTATATTGCTATGAACAACTTTGATTTCAAGAAACAGGATGTTCGTTCATTGATAGATGAATCATTTGAACATAACACTGAACAAAATTAGCGTAATTGCGTTGCACATGTTAGTGAAAAAACAGAAAAAGAATTGTGGGTCACTGATAATCACCAAGACAACGTTGATGAACTCCATTACAAGAGTTAATTTTCGCGACAGTTCTGAGAGTGAGATTTAAGATATCGACGATGACTTTCAATGACTTATCTATTGCGTAAAATTTGTTTACTATTTGTTAACTCATAAATTTGTAATTTTGAAATTCATTATTTATTATTGAACATCGTATCGAAATTTGGCTGAGACGTGACCGGTTTTTCCGATCCCAGCATAGCGATGGCTGGCAACGGCTGGTAACGGCACGCTTAAGACATCACACTGCATTGTCAGTGTGTCTCGCAATAGAGTTGTATTATAAGTGATATTCTTGGTAACGGGAAAATGGAGGTCGTAATAGGTCCAAATAAAGCAGAGAGAGACTTTAGGGATTATAGTTCTACCAGACTGGTCGAAAATGGCTCGCATCACAATATTATTTTGATAGTAAACTTGGTTTAATGTAGATTTTTGTTTTTAGGTACAGTCATCGGATGGGGATTCGATGAAAATAAGAAAATTTCCGAAAAATTAATGCAAGCCAAAATGCCAATTGTATCAACCATAAACTGCATTTATTCAAATAGAGACTTTTTCGCAAAATTTACCTTTGACAAGAATTTTTGTGCAGGATTTCTTAATGGTGAGTTCTTATTTTTTAGACTATTTCAGATGTTGTTTTAGAAACTTTTTAATGGTATCAGCTCTAATATAAGAAGCTCGCTGGAAAATTTTATAAATATATAATAAAAATACGATAAAAATAAATACGATAAAAATAAATACGATAAAAATACGATTAAATACGATAAAAATACGATGAAAATACGATAAAAATACGATAAGAATACGATAAAAATACGATAAAAATACGATAAAAATACGATAGAAATACGATAAAAATACGATAAAAATACGATAAAAATACGATAAAAATACGATAAAAATACGATAAAAATACGATAAAAATACGATAAAAATACGATAAAAATACGATAAAAATACGATAAAAATACGATAAAAATACGATAAAAATACGATAAAAATACGATAAAAATACGATAAAAATACGATAAAAATACGATAAAAATACGATAAAAATACGATAAAAATACGATAAAAATACGATAAAAATACGATAAAAATACGATAAAAATACGATAAAAATACGATAAAAATACGATAAAAATACGATAAAAATACGATAAAAATACGATAAAAATACGATAAAAATACGATAAAAATACGATAAAAATACGATAAAAATACGATAAAAATACGATAAAAATACGATAAAAATACGATAAAAATACGATAAAAATACGATAAAAATACGATAAAAATACGATAAAAATACGATAAAAATACGATAGAAATACGATAAAAATACGATAAAAATACGATAAAAATACGATAAAAATACGATAAAAATACGATAAAAATACGATAAAAATACGATAAAAATACGATAAAAATACGATAAAAATACGATAAAAATACGATAAAAATACGATAAAAATACGATAAAAATACGATAAAAATACGATAAAAATACGATAAAAATACGATAAAAGTATAATAAAAACACGAATAAAATACTATAAAAACAATAAAAATACGATAAATGTTAAAATAACTTAATTACAAAATATGAATTTTTAAAACATTGAATTAGTATTCGACCCAGTCAGTCCGAAACAGTTTTAATTAATACAAAAATGGCGCTTCTGAATTAAACACTTGTCAAATTGTATATAGCCAGGCAGGAGTTGTCTAGCAACGATACTGATATAGCGGACGCGATTTCTGATATTACACATTTGCACTTGAGATTGATAAGCAAGATAAATTGCTTATCAATCTCTTTTAAAAACTATACCTACCTAAAAAGTGTTCGATTCAACTCGTTTATACCTGAGTATTGTTGTGTTTCTTTATTTATTTTAAAGCATTTTTGATTACATATTCGTTTAATACTCTTCTTAATTTTAAGGAACTTCGGTGTGCAATGGAGACTCCGGAGGGTCCATGGTGTTCCCAAAAAGAGGAACTAGCGGCCACAGTACAGTCTGGCAGATCAGGGGCATTGTTTCGGTGGGCGTTGCCCTGCAAAGCGAAGGAGTTTGTGATACCTCACAATACGTTATCTTCACTGACGTCGCTAAGCATTTAAGTTGGATAAATCAGATTTTAAAGAACTGATCGTTATAACTAAGAGGGTTCGAAGTGGTTTGTAAAATTAAATCTTTCTTCCCTTATTTTGTAAGAGCTAGAGATTATTTTACTGGTATATTTTCCTATATCCTGTTTGATTAGTTAATTCGTACCTATGATTTCCTTTCCTTTTGTTCTTCCATCATCTTGTCTAATCCAATCATTGCAGAGACATTTAATGTTCCCTTGTAAGATCTATTAGACAAGAATTTCCTAGAACCAGTCCCTACACATGGTAATTCAAAAAATGTGAAGAAAGAGAGTTGTTTATATTACAAACTACGTTTTACTTTTAGTAGACTTAAATGAATACTCATCATTGTGATAATATAGATTGTAAATATATTATATTTTTTATAAATTGTGTTTTATTAATAACTAAATCCATAGCTAGTGTAACTTTTTATTTCATTTTTTTTTTAAATTTTGTTGTTCGGATTATACAAAGAATAAGAGTGAATAGTGAATCAACAAAATTCCAAAGAAATATTTTATTCACCCAAAATTCCCATACAAACGGAAAATTTTCACCCAAACGGCAACACTGTAACTGACTCCATTCAAAGTTGAAACACAAAACGCAAAATGTGACCATGGCACAACTAATACGACAGTGACAGGCACATACTTTGATTTTCTTTACTATACGGCGCAAGAGAGAGGTCCCACCATAGCCCTCAGAAAGTCTAGATACCGCTTGGCGTATACTGTCAATACAAAAAAATGACCCCATTCAAGCTTGTCGCCATGTTAGGTAAATTTATGTTTTGGCTACACTGATTTTTAGTTTGTGTGTTCTGTAATACGTGAACACCGATAATCTGCACTTTGTTATTAGTTATAAGTGAGTGAGACGCACAATTTCTAATTTCAAATTAAGAACAAAACTTTGACAAACCTATTTGATTTTCCTAGATCTGTTCAGACAGGACCGGTTTTATAAAATTTATCGTTCTTGAAATGTTATTTTTACATGGTTATATATTATTGGATAAGTGGTTTGTGTCATAGAAATAATATAGAAGACCAATATAAATATAACATCCAAGCAGAAATTGAAACCTACTGTGCATAAAAACGCGTCTCTGCGCCTGACATCTCTAAATAGTGTGTCTAGAAGCTTGCGCAGTATGCATGACTTGTCCCTGTAGTGTTGCCAAGTATATTAAACATACCTAACACAAAAGAATTTTAAATTAATTTATTTTTAAATTACATGATTTAATCAGTTTATATCTACGAAATATCGCCCCAAAATAATTTATAAACATTTAAATAATCAACTATAATAGTAGTAATATTTATGTGTAATTACATTCCCAAAAATATATACAAATACGGTATTAATGTACAACAAGCGATTCACCTACAAATTCAATATTGACCTGGCAACACCACTTTAATCCGGTGTTTCAAGGCTCTATGACGGTGCCGTTACAGGACCGTTTGTGATATTTTGGCTTCAATTTGTATTTTATTATTTAATTACACGACATTTTATTTTTAGTTTCGTGTAGTGTTAAGTTAAATCCTAGGTACAATAAAAGACATGTTTACATTGGCTAATGAAAATGTAATCAATGTATTTAGCAGCTGTTATATTTATTACAAGATTTATGTCTAGAAATTCAAACCTACCTAAGAATTATAATTATGTAAATAGAGAGCTGTATATTTATATACAGGCTGTCCAGCGACGGGGAGACGTTATCGGTATCTGACAAAATAATGAATGATTTTTTGTTAAAAATAGTAAACAGGCTATGATCTTTCCATCTAAAATATTTTGACAGTTCTGTTATTTCCTTTTTATTTTAAATGAGATGCCACTTCTATTATTCCTGATAGCGATGGAACATGAAATGTTGCTTATTTGGAATATATACCTTTACACAACGCTCATGACGTCAGAGACAGTTTCAGTCGGGTATAATTTAAAATAAAGAATTTTAAAACGAATCGTATTAATTTGTACCTGTACCTAACATTTATGGCATCACTAGCCGAGTTGGCATCGGGTATATTTTCAAATGTAGAAACTGAAAATTAACCCTATTAAATTGTATACTTTTAAATGCGGGTTTCAAGGCATTTTAAAATATAAACTCGATCTCAACGAACTTAGAAACTTCTGTCACTCGATATTTTAATCGTTACTTCCTCTTCGCTTTTTGGCCGGCACAACAATTATTTACATTTCTTCATTCTTTACCGCGTGCGAACCAGTACGGTTTAAAGAAATTTTAAAAAACCTACTTTAAAAATGAAGATGTTAATGATTTTCTCATGGATCTCATCTTCAGATCCTGACTTAATTTATGTAGTATTATTCATTTTCTATCAAAAAGAGAATCATAGAAACCGGGCAACGTGGTAAAGAATTATCGCTCAACATACATAAAAAAATATTTCAACGAATTGAGAATATCCTCCCATTTTAAAGTATGTTAAAAAAAAAATGTTAATAAAGTGCAAAGTAGGGTGATAATATATATTATGAAGAATATAAAATGATAGATAAAGCCAGTGTAGAAAGTATTATAAATAAACTTTGGAAATATCGAGAATCTCGATTTTGAATCGGAAGAAGAGTATTCTATGCAATTTAGAATGAAAAATGATCAAAATGAAACAAATGAACGACATGCTAATGTTATTGACAACTTTCTTCAAACATTTTCTAGTTTTCCGAAAACTAACTGGATAGTTCGAAAATCATTTCCGCCGTTAAAGCGCCTCTTGTTCCGAAAAAGATACACGCCTGTCAACATTCATCGTTCAACAAAAAAAGTATTAGATACAAAACGCTTCGTATTGTAAGGCCAAAATATATTTGGAAATCAAAAAAGTCATATAAACAAAAAAATCATCATAGTGAGATAACTACCAAATTAATGATTTACAAGTTTATTCTTATTATCTATAAAATAGGTTTGCAATGTGCTGATGTGGAATGTTATCATCGACTAAAAACTTTAAATCTTTGTATTAAATTGATCGAAAACAATCCATAAATTGGTTTAGACTATACAGAATGTTTCTAATAAGCAGCGACTAACTTTTATTATGAAAACGAAAGACCCTTTTAAAAGGGTTTAAAATTAAAATAAAATATGTACCAAGTACCAAGTAAATGTAGTAGTATTTTTTAATTTGGAATCTTGAGAGATGCAGACATATTTGGATACTTTATATTGAAAATGGTAACATGAAAGGTTTTTTGTCTAATTGTAAGTAACGACTCACAGTCTTGGCTGACAAAATATAAAAAAATATCGAACATAATATTCCTGGGCGAAACGCACCTGCCCCCTATTTTGCACTACTCAAATTAAATTTACTTGTAGCAAATGATACTAAATCAAATAAGATGTCAAATCACAAGCAAAATCTCGTGACTGCAGCACTAATGATTTCTGTAAATTAACCAATTCATTTTTCATGCCATATTTTTCTTTCAAAAACATATTTATCCTACTTGAATTTTTTTCATCGTTTTTTATATAGAAGCATCTCTAAAAATGTATGAATAAAACATGGTTTGAACTATTTGTTCGATCAATAAAAAACTTGCACCGGTCCTGTTCGAGCCAGCACCGTTATACGCATGAGCTCCGACACACTATTTTCTCCTTAGGGTTTCAGTTTTGATATATGGAATCGGCTTTCTATACTATTTCTATGGTTTGTGTACATATTGCTATGAGAATTATAGAGAAATTCAGTGAGATTTATGTAATATAATTCAAATTACAAGTAAACCATCTGTTCCTGTTTGGCAATATGGAGAAAATACCTACTTCAATGTCAAATGTACTATTTAAAAGAATGTGATTGTTAACCGGTCATTTATTTATATTATATTATGAAAATAAAAACTCGAATTTTTTAACTAGGGAAAGATATACTTACATCGGTAACAAGGTATTTTTAGAAAAACTAATAGATTACTCCTATTCCTATAGTTTATTTGAAAATGAATAATAGCAAAATTATATAAAAATATGGACCTTTGCCATAAAAACTGTGCTACCAAGCATTTTCAAATAAACTATAATGATAATATGATTTAATAGAGCGAGTATAAGATCTCACCTGTTAGAGAAATTGGGGCATAGGGAAGAGATTATGAAGCAGGTAAGCGAAGTCATTGCAAAAGATAAATATATAGAAGTTATTTTAAAAATTTGATAAAAAACTAGTGGAACAAGAAATGGAGTTGTCGCTATCGGAGATCCAATCAGCAGAAAGTAAAAAAAAAACTTTGGAAATGTTGGAAAAGAGCACAGCAATAGGCCCAAAACAATTCCTTGGTTTTTTAATAAATATATTCTGAGATGCAAAAAATACTGCTAGAGTGGAGAAGCAGTATTGTTCTAATGTAGAAAACCCAGGGACATACAGCAGTGCACTAACCATAGGCGAATAGTCACTAAATTATACAAGAGTCCCATCTCGATTTTATTTTTAAATATTTTTGAGAATACCTATTATTATTTGTTACATTGAGTTTAATAAAACCACATATTTCGAATGTATTGAAAGTTATTTAAAAAGTACCTCTATAAATATATAGAAAATGTGTATATGACTAACTGGTTTTATTAATCTTTTTTTGGGGTAGGTAAATATATTTTGAAAAATTTACAAACTTCTTTTGAATAAAAGACAAAATATTTCTGTTTTTATTAACTGAACAATATTTTATACGAACATAATATATACCTATTTAAAAGAAAATATTACATTTTACAAGTATCGCATATTTATATGAAATAACTAACTCAATAAGAAAGAATTAAATGAAAAAAATTAATAAACAATGGATATGAAAAATTGCTATAACAATTTAATCCTTAGATAAACTTATTCTTACATATTGCTTTAATCAATTTATTTACTATAAAAGTATATTTCCTATCATTTATTAAATATCATAAAATAAAGCATAAAACATACAAACTATAATATGTACCTACTTAGAACGGAACTAATATTATTGTATCAAGGTAGTAATAGTGGACATTTTCCGAATAAAAAAAAGTAAAAAAGAAGTAACGGTCGACACGTTTTTCTGACTATTGGTCTTCATCAGTACGGTGCAGTCAAGTTCAAAGGATCATGGAACTTGTGTTGGAAAAATTGTACAATAGGTCACTAACAAGGAGCCAATAACACATTTGCCGTTTCAGCTAGTATCCCCAAATTTTCTGGGCTTATACTAAAGTCACAAAATGATTCAATGGTCTTCCTATGGCTATCA